AAGATGAACGAAGGTCTTACGGGTTTGGAACGACATGAGGGTGAGTAATTAATGACACAATTTTCATATTTGGGTGAACTAACCCTTTAACTAAAACTGTAATTATTAAAAAAAAAGCGTTTTCGTAAACTGAAATAAAGCCAAAATTCGGAGCCGCTCTTTCCTTCTCTCTCTCAGTCTGGCACCTTCGCTGTCTGCCTCTCATCTCCCATCCAACCCCTGCTCCACACTGCCCATCTAATCTTCACATCAGTCATGGCCAAAAGTAGAAGATGTGCTCCATATACACTCCCTCTGATCTACCTTCTGTTAGAGAGTCTTAGAGAGTTATTGCCCAACAATTTCCGCTGCTCTAAAAAGCAGTAAAAAGGGAGGCTGAAGGACATCAGTAACTGTAAATCGTTCTGTTTATTTTATTTCATTTTAAAAAAGGTTATTAAACAGATGGAAAACTTTCCATACAAATAACCAAGGACAGAGTTGAGGGCACAGAGTTAAATGAGGACAAAGATGTCTGGTTGTTTTGCTGGAATTAAAGAATGGTTTAAAATCAAACGTTGCGATCTATTGGCACGGACAGCTCTCCTTTATGGCTGGCTTTGATCACCAGAGTACCTCCCAACACCTACAAGAGCGACTTTGTCGACTGATGCGGACTGAAGTAGAGAGATGTCACCAGCCTATTTTTCCCTCCCTCTCCTTGAAGACTCGGCCATCAAAGCACACACTGATCTCAAAGGATTCCTTTAATATAAAATTATAGCCAAACAATTTCCCAACCAGCCAATCCAATCTACATAAAACGTCTCACCAGGTTCAAAAGCAACCAAAGACATCAGTGACGAGAACTTTATAGAGTGACCATGCAATGCAGATGCATATGAGACAAACAAAACTGTGCATCCTTCTTTAGATGCTAAGCTTGAGAAATATTTTTTAATGCACATAAAATTGTCATTGCTCAAACATCGCTCTTTCGGAAGCTCTTAGCGATGGTTCAAGTACTTTGTATCAGTTGTTTCTCATAAAATTTCTAAACAGGAATAAAAAAAAGAATGATATTAATATCGCGCTATTAACATTTCTGATTTCTTTGGGATTACTAGGGTCTTTTTTTCTCAGGAGAAAAATCTGAGAGGCAGGAGACTTCATTTTCTCATCATTTAATCTCACTGGTGTCTAAAAGAAACAATTGGAGACGTTAAATAGATTCCATATGTTGTTTTTCTTTCCTATGGGAGAGAATCTTTAACAACTGCATACATTTTTAATCAGCGTTTGTAGTGATCCTGTTTTCTGCCGTCAGAGTTACAGACACAGGGGTGGGAGGGATGGCACTGAACGAGAATCTGCCATACTACTTGGTTAATGTGTTTTCTATTTCTCGCTTTTTCCAACAAGCCAGGCAATACATTATTCATGGCTCAAAGTGAGCAGCAACATGTCCATGGTAAATTCCCTCCCTTTCATCGCTTCGCTCTTCCGTCTTTATTAAATATTTTACCTCAGCAACAGGTCTGATGCAACAGTGAACTGAAATGATCAGTATAATTTCTTCACTTTCTGACAGACACAAAAACTCTGAGTGTTGCTGAACATGCTAAATAACTCTCTCTTTTAAATACATTATCATTCAAAGACATTAAACAGTGAAAAACAACTAAAATCTTATATCATGATATGAATAATTTTATAATACTACAACAGCACAGCTAAACACCAGAATACAAATATTTTTGCTGAAATTACATAGCTTTTTTATATATATATATA